TATGTGCTGGCACTTCTCAAAAAACCTACAAGTCTCTCATAATTCTTGGGGCATGGCAATGAGCAAAGGAGAAAGGGATTGCTTTTCTACAACTCTTTTTAACAGAAGACTGATTAACCTCCCAGACTGTTCCCAGGGGGAAGACAATCTCCATTCTACTTGTCATCCCATCTGTGCTCTAGACTCATTTCTCCACACCATATTTCCTTGAAGAGCTGAAGTCTTTTCTGGTAGTTGGTCCCACACTCCAAGACACACTAATACTGGCACTCCTCTGGGGGACAAGGCATCTTTTGTTGGTTTGATTTGCATAGGTATCCTGTGGTGTGCCCATTATAATGTCAATTTCCCAAACAGAGTTAAATGACACACCCAAAATCAGAGAAGGGACCTGTACCTTGAGATCCCTGTGTGTCCTGGTGTTTGGATTTCACCAAATACATCTAAATGTCTGGGGAAACTGGAAAAACTATAAATTACAGTAGTCATTATTAACCTGCAGCAAAATCCAGCTGAACTGACTAGGAATGTCTCACCCAGGACGAGAAAATGATTATACCTAAACTGTGATTCATTTCATCTTAACTCACCATGTCCATACCCTTTGATATATGACTTTGAAGTTTCTTACAAGCAAGAAGAAGAACAAGAACAAGGTGACAAATTGTAGCCAGCAGTATGAAGCATACCCAACAGCTTACTGGTCCTAAGCCTAGATGCTAAGAAACTCAGATGCTGCCCATCATTCTCTTCCACCTTCTATGACAAAAGCATATCTAAGTGGACCCAATGCTCCCAGAAGATGAGAGCTACATGAAGTAGGACCTCCGTCACTGAGATCCAGCCACCAAAGCCATGAGCAGAGTCCCTGCCAAGGGAGTTAACAAAATGTTATAGGCTACCAGTGGGCTGGTAAGCTCTCTGTCTCGGTAGGGATTGGTACAGAAGGAGTCAGTCCCACCTACCCATCAGGAAATACCCATGTTGGGGAAGGAAGTTGGAACCTTCCAGTTATTCTCAACTTTAGCATTTTAGAGATGAACAAAGTTATACCACACACACACACACACACACACACACACACACACACACACAAGTCTCAGGAGCCATAAATGTTCTGCTAATGTCCTGCTTTTCCCCAAAAGTGCGATATATTGAAGTAACCACTGTTAGCTATCACCATCAATTCATAAAAGATGGACATTTTAACACTAAAACTGAAAAGGAATATAATCCTAGAATATAAATATAGCAAGTCATTTCTAAGTGAAGGCAATTGGCCATTCTCCTTATATGAGCCGTTTTCTTCCATTCTGTCACAGATCAATGAAAACTTGGTCACTAAATAGTTCTGTTCTGTGTGTTAACAATTTCCCTACATGGTTTATAGTAGAAACTGTCAGGAGAACATGAAGTCAATTACATAAATTTTAAGACTTAAATCTAGGTTCTGTTTGTTCTGTGACAACATAAAACTTACCCTTTTCTCCATTGAGATAGAAAATAAAACTAAAGATAAACTTCTTTTCCCCTAGCTGGATGTCTGGAGGCAACATGGGTGACCAGTGGCTCTATGGGAGTCACTGCTGAGCATGTGCAAGCAGTGTTTCTATCAGTATGTAAAGGACACAGGCTCAGTTAAGTTTAACCAAGTGACCTTTCTTGAATGGATTATTCAAAACAGTCTACCCAATGAAAGAGGCCATGCCAGTCTTTGTACATAAAAATAAAAATTGAAAAACCCTGGCCTTCCCTTCCCCCCGAAAAAGATAATTTTTATCACCTCAACTTATCTTCTCTACTGGCTACCAGGAGCCCATTTGAGCAACCAACCAAGCCACCAAACCCCAGCTTCATGGGACATTTGATCTGCACTCCACACCTGCCTGAAATACCATAAGCTACTTCCATGGTAGCAACATATATGGATATATATGGATTTATGTATGGATATATATATCCACCAAGGTATTCAAACCAAACAATATAAGAGAAGGCAGGGTGCCTCTGGGACTAGCTCCAGGACACATGGCCAGGTCACTCATGAGCGTTGACTGTGCTTTCTTTGGGCCATGAAGAGCCATTCCATGATCTGTTGAATATGTGGAAGTTTAAGAGAACAAAGGTTCCTCAAAGTGGAAAGTAGTTATAACAGCCTATTTATTCAAAACTCTCAAGCACACTATAGACACCAGATACCAGGCTGACTCTGGCCAATGACATCTACGCAATCACAGCAGGTGTCTGTTCTGTCCAGAAACTTTGGAGCTATATTCCTATATTAATTATTATTAACTATATTACTCACTATTCCTTTCCTTTCCACCTGCCATGAAACCATCAGGCTTTCCAATAGAAATAAAATTTCAATCTAAGGTCAACAATTAACTCCCAACAATCATGAGACAGAAATATAAATTAACCCTCAGTTGGTAGTAGCTGGCAAGTTTTTGGGTGCCTGTGTTCTCAGGTACAATAGAGCCTATGTATGTATTGTGACCCACACAGTGGGGATGTCACAGTGGTCTTCTAGAAGTCAACAAGAATGACGGCAGTGGAAGATGGCAAACTTTTCTTGGCTGTGTTTCTGCACCTGACCTCTGGGCAGCTGGAAGGCAGAGGTGACAGGTGAACTCACAGGTGCCTAAGACATGGATCCTGCCCCTGTAGAACATATTAAGAATTAGGAAAACATGTCATCCCTCTCTTGTATAGCTCTGAGTTGTCAGATCATTAGTAGGTCCTGTGGTAGGTGGAATCATACAGCTACCAGGGCCCAGTACTGAGTACTAAGGGCTATTATTTGGGACTGGAAAGCCTGGGATTTCGTCCTAACTCTGAGGCCTTGTGCCACGCCTCCACAGATGCCTACTGTGTCAGGCACTAGGGAAAAGAGGCCAGACCCTTAGCTTTCCAAACTTCCATTCATAAAGGAGAACAGACACTGGATAGTAAGATAAATATTAATTATATAAGAGAGCTATTTAAGAATGATGGAAGACAAATTGACAAAGCTTGAATAAAAGAGCCTTTGGAAAGAAACCCAGAAAAGGCCTCTTGGAGGAGCAGATGAAAAGCAAGACTGTATCTGCCAAGCAAAGGACTGGGGATAGACAGCAAAAGCAGGCAGCAGCATCACAAAGACAAACGGCCTGAACTGGAGAGGAGGAAAGACAGAGCTCTGGATAAGATGGGCACAGATGGCTGACTTAAGGAACTACTTGTCACCTGGGTCTTGTGGTTCAGAACATGGTTTAGAGAGTTTTGTTGTGTTTTTGGTTTTGGGTTTTTGTTTTTGTTTTTGTTTTGTTTTGTTTTGTTTTGTTTTTGAGTGTATAAAGGGAAGTAGGGAATAACACAGCAGAGAAATCATGGGAATCTGATTGCATTCAAAGAGTCCCAGAATGCTTTGTAAAGGGTGAACCACAAAGAGGATGGGCTAGTGAGGATACTCCCAAGGCCTGGACTGGAAGAGCCATCATCACGACCTTCATAGATCCTGTCAATACTACATCTCTGCTATCTGCTATCTGCCTACAATTCAGAATGCACATGCTTTTTGGGCTCCAGCAGGCTAGAGTAAAGATACACATAGATTTGCTCAGTTAACACGTTTTCCTGCTAAGCATTTCTGGTGCCTTTCCCAGAACTAGAGCCATGCCCATGAAGGCCTTCTTCTGCCAACTGCAAATCAACTGTCAAGACACCAGAGCTCTACACTCGAATGACAGCAGCCTCATCCCTCCAAGTGGATAGAACTGAGAGTACATCAAAGCTGGTATAGAATAGAAGGGCAGTTCATCATCAAGACAAACACACAGGCAATACAGACCAAGACTCTTCAACCAACCAGGAGACTTGACAGTTAGGAAATAGGCAGATAAGGGTAATTAATAACTGTGGCAAGGGAAGTTAGCTCTGACCAGAGATGTTCCAAGCTCTCCTAACCTGAGCTAAATGCTGGTTAGGGAAGGAAGGCTCAGGGAGCAAGAACAAGTTACTGAGACTTGATGGCCTGGACTAGACTGCTGGAATGTAAGAGTTCACATGAACACAGAGCAGATTCTCCTAGACCAGCCAGGCCTCAGCAGACTTGCTGACTGGCCAGAGGAACATCAGTGAGCTCAGACAAGATCATCTGAACCAAACTAGAGCTGCTCAGCCAACTCAGACACACATGTGAAGAAATAATAAAGGTCTATGTGCTTTAAGGTATAGTGCCTTGAAGGGGTTTGCTATGCAGTGATAGCTAACTGATTCTGAGGGAACTCAAAGTCAGTACTCTTGCTACTTGCCTTTAGCAAGTCTCTGGTGAAGCCCGAGCCCTGTTTGTTTCCCTACATGAAGCCACTGCATATTCAGATCACTGGACTGAGGCTATAGCCCCAGAGATTCCTTCTTGGAGTTAATTTTACACATCATCTAGTACCTTTGGAAAACTGTCTCCTGTCTTTGAGCCTTGGTTCCTTATCTGTAATGAAGGAATTGGGGGATTTCTAAAGAGCCTCCTTGTCTAATGCATTTGAGTGACTCTGAACTCTTCATTCATCAATCTGTCATCTATTTAACCAAAAAGGATTTCTTTCAGAGCCAGAAGCCTGCTGTGCTATGGCTATGTCTAAGAACAGAGTTACAGAATCAAGCACAAGCAAGATGTTGGCCCTGCTCACCAGTAGCCTGGGACCCCTGGGGGCTCACTATCTCATTAGTACAAGGACAGAATCTTGTGGGTGACTTGACAACCAGGGAGGCTAAGTGATGACGGCAGTGGGTGGGACTCAAGTTCACAACTTCCCAGAAGACAGAGAGGATGCATGTACAATATCCCAGTGACCCTGGACTTTAGTACCCTTGTCAAAAGTGTTGGGGGCATAATTGTGGCAGCATGGAACCCAAAGTCCTCCACACCCCTGATTGCAACTGTGCTTCAAGTCTTCTTCCATCTGAGGAAGAGTTGGACATATGAACATCACCTGCCATGGGACCTAGAAATGTACTACCATGAAACCAGGGAGCAATGGACTTGGTGTTCCTCTCAAAGCCAGCTCGGCGAGGCAGCTGTTCCTCCTTGAACCATCGCACGATGACTTCTCTGGAGAGTGGACGCAGGGGACGCTCCCAGGTCCTGCTGGGAAGAAAGAGAGTAAGAGATGGGATGAATCAGAGAAGGGGAAGAGAAGAAAGAAAATTGGTAGGGAGGGAAATGGGAAGAAGTGAGTGGAAAGAGATGGCTCAGAAGGTAAAGGTACTTGCTGCCAAGTCAGACCATGTGAGTTTGATTCCAGGGTCCCACACACAGAGAACTGACCCTCACAGGTTGTTCTCTGACCTAGCATGTATATTATATATGTACATGTATATGCAATAAATAAATAAACTTTTAAAGGCATAAAAGGGGGAGGCAGTTCTGACTATACTTCCAGATTCAGAAAACACATAAATTTATTTCATAAAGGTCAACCATTTCTGCATTCTAGAAAATTCTACCTCCAAAAATCAAAAGATAAATGACAAACCAAGAAAAAGAATTTGTCCCAATTCTTCCCTAACTTAACAACTTCCTAGAAATGGATAAAGAAAACATGGATCACACAGTGAAAGGGTGGAATGTATAACAGAAGAGAAGGAAATACCGTGGCCCAACAACTTGTGTGAAATGCTTAGTCTGGCCCCAAAACATATATATTTAAACTTACTCCAAGACATATTTTCTTACACAAAACAAGGTTGACAGCACCATGGGCCAGGCTAATGGCTGTGAAGATGCAAACATTAGTTTGCAGGACCAGTGAATTTCAAAAGCACATAGCCCTTGAAGAAAGACTATACTTGGGAGAATATCTTTGCAGATTATGGTTGCCCAATATAAATTTAATTTCCACAAGTTTATACACACAGGGCCTAGTTGGTGATTGCAAAAGATTTGAAATAGTAATGCCAACTGATAGTCTCTAATAACTAATAACAAATCCACACAATAGAATGTGGGCAACTTTTAAAGAAAAGAGGAGAAATAAGGTGGTTTGGGGTTTTTGTTTGTTTTATTTACATTGGCAAGTGAGCAAAGAAGCCTAGGGGTTGGGATGGGGTAAAGTAAGAAGCTAAGAACAGTATCTGGGAAGGTGCTATGAGGAGATGATATAGGGGGAAGGAATCAGAGTTGTCTGTGGACACCATACCTTCTCAGAATTTCTTGTTTGGGAATCATACATGATAAGGAAGGAAGGAGGGAAGGGGGAGGAGAGATACGAAGGCAGAGTTAGCTCTTGCTAGACTCCAGGGAAGCAGAGAGGGGGGATATGAACAACCCCAAACTCCTATCAGAACAAAAGTTGATAAACCACACTATCTGGGGGTGAACTGACTCCTGAACATTACCAGGAGATAAGGGAGCCACAAGTGTTCCACTCCCCAGCTCCACTCCTCAGGAAAAAAGCTGTGCAGCAAGGATGGCTGAGGGACCCTGAGATAGGAGGCTAAATCTCAGGACCAGTCCAGCCAGACAGTTAGAAAGTGGAGAAGCTCCAGGTGACCTTATGTCTTTGGCTTTGCCAATCATAGGCTGTCACTGAAGTGTCTTTGGCAAACAGCCCCGCTAGGGACACAAATGTGTGCAAGGATCTCTCAATTTACCCACACTAGTCTGCAACCCTGCTTTTCAAACTAGGTGTAAACCAGCTCCATCCACAGTTAGAAAAGGCTGTGGCCCTGGTTCCCAGCTACTGGCCTATATTTATCCCATTTTAGGTCTTTCATTGCAAGGTTTTGGCCAAGGCCATGGAATCTGTGGGAACTGTGGGAACATTTGCGGTATTTGCATATGCAGATCTTAAGGGAAAGAAGATGTCAAGGATTACAAGAATCCTTAACCTCTGAAAGACTAACCCCCAGACTGCAAAGTTGTTAGAAAGGTTCAGAGCCCACCCTAATTCTGCATTCTGCCCCATTACATAGATTGGAACACTGAGGCCCAAGGAGGACAGATGATCAACAAATAAGAGACAGAGCCTGGACTAGAACCCATAAATCTTGCCTCATGGGTCCATGGCCCATCCTAACACACACCTGTCAGGTTCTGTAAGGGGAGATGGTGGACTCGTGCGCGGAAGTTGATGATAGAGTTTTGCCTCCTGCTCATGATTCTGGCCAAGTTCTTGGAACATGGTACTCAGGCCAGCAACTGTGCCCTTCTGGATAGCTCGGAGTGAGTGGCGCCTGTACTCATCCCGGGCTCGCTGGGCACGACGACTCCTCTCTTCATCAGCCGCCTTGGATCTGCGCACTAGAAAAGAGAACAGCATGGCTGGTCTTGACCCACGGCCCAAGCTATCCACTTGGAAAACATAGACAGCCCTGAACACAACTTACTTAGAATTCCATGATTTCTTGGGAAGACCACCCACAACACCATACATGAGGCTTGGCTCCTGCAGGAATGGCAAGGCATGCCCAGCCCCCAAGATTGTTGGGGTAGAGGGGTCTTTTTATAACTGACACTCCATGGACTATAAAAGTCCAAGGCACTATCCATTCTCCAGCTTTCTGCTTTGCATGTCCCTCAAGGGGCTCTGACACAGCCAAGTAGCCTTGAAAAAGCCACCGTGTGTGAGCACATGCATGGGTGTGTGCATGAGTGCACACATGTGTCTGTCTGTGTATCTATGTATGACTGTGTGTGTTTCTGTGTATCTTTGCATGTGTGCTCATGTGCATGTCCATGTGTATCTATGTATGTGTGCATGCATGTCTTCCTGTGTGTCTGTGCATGTCTGTGTGTATATATGTATGTCTGTGTATATATGTTCTATTTACGTGTGTGTGCTTGTGTGTATGTGTGTCTCTGCATCTGTGTATGTGTGTGTGCATGTGTGTGTCTGTCTGTCTGTGTGTCTGCATATGACTATGTCTACTTCTGTGTATCTCTGCATGTGTGTATGTGAATGTCCATTTCTATCTGTGTATGTGTGTGTGCATGTATTTGTGTGTGTGTGTGTGTGTGTGTGTGTTTATGTCTGTGCATATATGTTTCTGTTTATGTGTGTGTATTTGTGTGTATGTGCATTTTCATGTATATGTGTGTCCTGTGTCTGTGTGTGTGTGTGTGTGTGTGTGTGTGTGTGTGTGTGTGTGTGTGTGTGTGTGTGTAGCTCCTAAAACTCCCAAGACGTTTGGGGTTAAGAAAATGAAGACTAGCTCTCTGCTCCCCTCTGTTTCAGAGACAGCCACATCTTGTGCAGTGCCTGCCTCATGCCTGAGACGAATGGTGAAGATCAGAGTGAACAGATATGGCCGTATTTGGTCCTAGTTACCAGGTCTGCCTTCATGTCTGGCAAAGTAGATATTGTTGCCAACAATGACCCCCTTCATTGACATTAACTACATGGTTTACATGTTCTAATATGACTTTATCATGTTCAATGACATAGTCAAGGTTAAGAATGGGAAGCTTGTCATCAATGGGAATGCCATCACCTTCTTCCAAGAGATCCTGCCTACATCAAATGTGGTGATGCTGGTGCAGAGTATGTGGTAGAGTGTACTGGTGTTTTGACCACCATGGAAAGGATAGGGCCCACTTTAAGAGTGGGGCCACTGCCCCTTCTGCTGATGTCCCATGTTTGTGAGGGTGTGCAGTATGAGAAGTATGACAGCTCTCTCAAGAGTGTCAGCAATGTTTCCACAGAACCAACTGCTTAGCCTCTTTGACCAATGACATCTTTGGCATTGTGGAAGGACTCATGGCCATAGTCCATGCTATGACTGCCACTGGAAGACTGTGGATGGCCCCTCTAGGAAGCCATGGCGTGATGGCCATGGGGCTGCCCAGAACATTATCCCAGCATCCTCTGGTGCTGCCAAGGCTGTGTGAAAGGTCATCCCAGAGCTAAATGGGAAGCTCACAGACATGACCTTCCATGTTCTTATCCCCAATGTGTAGGTTTCAGATCTGACATCCTCTTGGAGAAAAATGTCAAGTATGATAACATCAAGAATCAGGTATCCCAGGGCTCACTGAAGGACATCCTGGGCTACACTGAGGACCAGGTTGTCTTCTGGGACTTCAACAATGACTCCCACTCTTCCACCTTTGATGATGGGACTGGCATTGCTCTCAATAACAACTTTGTAAAGCTCACTCCCTGATATGACAATGAATTTGGCTACATCAACAGGGTGGTGGAGCTCATGGCCTACATGGCCTCCAAAGTGTAAGAAATCCTGGACCAACAACCCCAGCAAGGACACAAGAGCAAAAGAGAGGCCCAGTCCCTATCCCAGCTCCACCCCCAACACTGAGCATCTCCCTCAGTTTCCATCCTAGATCCTCAGCATAACAGGAGGGGCTTAGGGAGTCCTACTCTCTTGAGTACCATCAATAGAGTTCACTGCACCCACATTAAAAGAAAAGAAAATGAAGATTGAACAAAGCCTACTGGAGTCAAGGGCTTCTGCCAGACCTGGTCATCCTGGAGTCTGACCACTTCCTGCCAGACCACTACTTGCCTCTAAAATCTAAGCATCCTCACTAGAGTGCTCTGGAAGCTGGCCCTGGACTTCAAATTGTGAAAGATTAATGATTACACTGAACCTGGCAGATTACCTCGCCCTCCAGGAAGGAAAATCTTGCTCAGTCCATTCAACATACATCACAGGCTCCTTCAGCTTTCTAGAAACTGCACTTTGTCAGTATTTGGAGGACACAGGTAAGTTGTTCTAGTCTGAAAATAGTGTTTTTGCCATCACATACAATGAAGAGTATTTTTGGAGAACATGGCTCTTTCAGATCCAAGCACATAGTCTATGTCTACAGAGGCATTTATAGAGTGATGCCATGTACAGAACATCCCCTACATTCTGAGCAAGTTCTTTGGCCTTCTCATTGATGAACCTCAGTGTCTAGAACAGGGTTGGCAGACAGGATACCTGTCTAGGTGATAAGGGATTCCAGTATCCTGGGGTGATAACTCATGGGTAATGAATGCACTTGCCATACAAGCATGAAAATATAAGTTCCATCCTCAACACCCTGCACAAGGATGATATGGTAGCATGTGTGAGAAATCCAGCTCTGGGGACACAGAGACAGAAGGGTCCCTGATGCTCACTGGCAATCCAGACTAGCTGATTCTGTGAGGCCCAGGTTCAAGGAGCAGCCCTGTTTTAAAAAACAAAGTGGAAAGTAGAAGACATTCAAAGTCAAACTCTGGCCTCAGAACACACATGTACACATGCATGTGTTAGTAACAGTAACACACACACACACACACACACACACACACACACACACACACACACACACACACACGGTCATGAATGCTCACACATACACATACAAAAAAATTAATAATTTTTAAAATCATTTCGTGATTCAACTCTGTGTTTGACTCTGAGCTGGATATAGAGAAGACATGGAAGCAGACCTTCTTTCCAATCACTCTGACGAAGCTGGAGAAAGGACAGATAAATGTCACCAACCATAATGAAAAAGGTCAGGAGTGTCCTTAGAAGGAGAGGAGGAGGAAGAAGAGGAGTGGGAGGAAGAATAGGAGGGGGAAGAAGAAGAGGAGGAGAAGGAGGAAGAAGAACAACAAGGACAAGAAGAATCAGAAGAAGAAATGAATTACTGTGAGAGTTCAGAGCCCTCCGTATTCATAATGTACAGGGAACAGGGTTGTCAAAGGAGAATCAGCCTGGGACTGTGCTGTGGAGGAGGTGGTCTGTTCCCACCAACACTCTGGTTGAGATTTGGGGTCTTTAAGAGAAACTGGAGTCACCTTTTCAAGGCTGTATTAATTTTCCCGGGGATGGATGAGGTCTTGGGAAACAAATGGCTCAAACAGATCATCCCCTTTGTCCCGGATCTGCCTCCTCTTGCTCTCAGGCAGAGAATAAATCTGCTTTCCTTGTGAATTACCAAGTCTTGTGAATTACACTAGAAGAAAATGAACAAGACAGTATAGAAAGATCAAGTACTTTCTAAAGAAATGGGAGAGAAGCTCATTCCAGGAAACAACTGTGGGCTTCAGTGACCCAGAGACTCATCTGTAGGTCTCAGGGGCAAGAATTCTGTGATGCCTGCTTGCACTGTGGGCAGAGGGTCAGACAGGGTCAGGAAACCCAGGACCAACTTCATGGTCACTATGCAGTGAAGTACCTCTGCCATATGCCAACAAATAACTCTGTAAAGTTTACAGCTTCTAAGAGACAGGCACTAGAGAGACAGACAGACAGACAGACAGACAGACAGACAGACAGACAGACAGACGGACAGACAGACAGACAGAGGTTTTGTTCCTGAACCCCTGTCTAGTGTGAAAAATATTATTCCTTAGTTCTCTTTCCCTGAACACTAGACAGTGCCACCCTTAGTCTAAGGACTGCCACACTGCTGGGCTATTCCAGAGTCACATCCCTGATGACACACAGAGCTCCCACTCAGTTCTCTAACACTGAGGAAACACAGAAGTGTCTCTTTTCGCTCTTGGTATAATCTGTGTAAGTGGTCACAAGTTCCAAAAGTTCAAAGTGGCAAGATTGAAGGGGTTTCACCACTTCACATAACATGCCGGCCAGGTATGGTGACACACTCTGATACTTCTAGGACCCTAGAGGCTGAGCCAAGAGGATTTCAAGCTTCAGGACAGCCCAAGTATATAATGAGACCCTGTTTCAAAACTATGAATGAATGAATGAATGAATGAATGAATGAATGAATGAATGGCATAGTCATACAAGTATGTTTAGTTATCTACTTATGCCACTTTCAAGTGTTGCACAGGGTTACCACTTAATACTACGCAAGCCACACACCTTACAACTCCAAGACACCCAGTTGTAGTGTTAGGCCCTCAGAGAGCTTACAGTCTAGTGGGGGAAAATGCAGCATTAAAAACAGTAGAGCTGTGGTGGGGTGTGCATTGGCCACCAGGGCCCCAAGAGGAGGGACATGACATCAGACATGGATATTCTCTGGAAGAGGGGAGAGGTCTACACTGATGCCTGGTGGATTCAAGGAACTCAACAGACAGCGGCCAATGGAAGGGCATTCTTAATAGAGTAGGTTCAGAGACCAGAAGGGGTAAGCATCTCTCCTGGAACAGTGCAGCATCACTGCAAGGCCCAAGTACCAGGAAAAGCCACTTAGAAGATCATAACTCCTGGCTTATGTGTTCTAATGATGTCCTGAAAGATAACTGGAAGCCACTAGAGGGCAGAGTTCTGTCTGCTCTCTAAAGAGACTGTTTAAACTAGTAGTACTGAGTGTGAATTTACAAGAATGAG